GGGGTCTCTCTAAGTCATCCAGTGCTATTCTATGTTATACTTGGCCTGGGAAAAAAATCAGAATTGCACTGGAAGATTTAAAGAGGCCCATCATTCCTTCTGGGAGTATGTTTTGGAGCATGGGGAAGGGGGCAATGTTGTATGACTTAATAATCAAATTATTTTCCTGAAAGCACGTTTGTAAAAAACCCCCAAGATATCCCATCCTTTCAAAACTAATCATCAATTAAGTGTGCGTATGCTACATTAATTTTATATTGCCCCACATTTTCTCCAGCTCTACACACCTCATATCAATATTATCATTTAATCCACACAACGTTTTGCTAAGTAGGCTAAAATCAAGGTTTAGTGATAGAATAAATCTGAAGTCAAGAGTTGACAATTTATATAACACTGGCATTCAATGTCATGTAACTTCCAAGCTGTTTTCAGAGAAGAACTGAACTACTGTTAGGAAGTAACAGGCAGACAAATGTCAGTGTGCTGGAAGAAGCACAGACCACCAGCACTGAAGCGATGGTCCTCCGCCATCAACTCTGCTGGACTGACCACGTTGTCCAAATGCCCGATCACCGTCTTCCAGGTGCCCTCCTCTGAACTCAGGAATGGAAAACAGAACGTTGGAGGACAGGAAAAGAGATTTAAAGTTGGGCTCAAAGCCAACCTTAAAAACTGCAGCATAGACAGCAAGAACTGGGAAGCCCTGGCCCTTGAGCACTCTAGCTGGAGGTCAGCTGTGACCAACAGTGCTGTAAAATTTGAAGAGGCATGAATGAAGGGTGAAAGAGAGAGAAATGTGCCAAGAGGAAGGCGTGTCAAGCCAACCCCGACCGGGACCGCCTTCCACATGGAAACCAATGCTCTCACTGCAGGAGAAAATGCAGGTCAAGGATGGGGCTCCACAATCACCTACGTACCCGCCAGGACACCTAACCTGGGGGACAATCTTACTCGGACAACGAGGGATCGCCTAAGTAAATAAGTATGCAAAGAACTCCCAGCTTTATTTCAATGTGGACTGAATGTTCAACCATTTTTTGGTCATGCTGTAGAAGACTTCACTGTATGCAAATAAAAAAGGTAGCAATTTGATGCTATAAGCATCGGCACCAAAGTAATTTAGGCCTTTTGATGAAAAGAAAATTTACCAGCTGTTGCAGCATTTTTTTTTTGTAACACCAGACATGAAGATGCAATCTTTGCTTGCATTATTAAGTTGGCACGCCCTAAAACATAAGGCATTAACGTACTTTTCATTTTAACTAGAGTCATTGACAGTGCTCAAAAGGTTTGTTTATTTTTTGGGGATTAATATTCAAAGGTGTAGTTGTATGTATCGGCATACAAAGGACTCCTGTAACACCTTTGAGAGTGCATCTGCGGAAGTAGTTTAAGTCTACACAAGCTTATGCTTCAAACATCTTCCTCTGAGTCAGGACATTATCAAACAAGGCAAGCAAAGTCAGGACTGCAGCTGGACAATCACTTTTTGTGACAGTCTTAATCATATGATGCTGTGTGCATTCTGCTATTGATTTGCTTCCCCCGCATGTTTTTCCCATCCCTAGCAAATGACAAATAAAATACGTCAATAACTCCCCTACTACATTTCCATCACTCACCTTAATGCGATAAGTCCATTCTATTTTGGTGCCAGCAGTAATGTGACATTACGGGATTCTACTCCTCTCTCCCCTCCCCACTATTCCTATGTTGTTTGCCACACACACACACACACATTTGCCTTTTCCCACGATGCTGAAATAGCATAATTGCACTAGAATAGAGAAATACAGTACAGGAAGGTGAGGTTACAAAGGTACACGGAAAAATGATTGTGGGACCAGACTGCGCAAGGACATAGTTGTGCAACTGATGAGAGCTGCCACATAAAAAGTGCTTAACTTGGTACATATCCACCATCCACTCAATATAGTAATATATAATACTAATATTGTGAAATGCTAATATATTATATATACATATATCGCTAATATCATGTAATACAATATAATACTAATAATACAATATAATTGTATATTACAGTGTGTGTGTGTGTATGTGCATATATATATATATAAACAGAGTACCCGGTGGCACAGGGGGTTAAACCCCTGTACCGGCAGGACTGAAGACCGACAAGTCGCAGGTTCGAATCCACGGAGAGCGCGGATGAGGTCCCTCTATCAGCTCCAGCTCCTCATGTGGGGACATGAGAGAAGCCTTCCACAAGGATGGTAAAAACATCCAATCATCCAGGCGTCCCCTGAGCAACGTCCTTGCAGACGGCCAATTCTCTCACATCAGAAGCAACTTGCAGTTTCTCAAGTTGCTCTTGACATGACAAAAAATAAAATTATATATCACATGATATATCATATTGATAATATTATAATGTAATGCAATATAGTACTAATAATACAATATAATTATACAGGGTTAGTCAAAATGAATAGGCCAATAAGAAAATTAATTTTAGACGAATGTATGTTTACTGTAACCAAACCACAGCTACGTAGCGACAGATAAAACTATCAAAGTTTTTTTTGAGCAACACACATGTACGTTAATGCCGCTAGGCGTCGCTAGGGGTCGCTGTTTTCAAAATGGCGGAATCAAGCAAAGAGAAGGCGTTTTGTGTGATGACATTTGCTAAAACAATGTCAGTAATTACGGTCCAGCGAGAATTTCAAGGGTTAGGGTTAGGGTTAGGGATAGGGTTAGGGATAGGGTTAGCGTTAGGGTTAGGACCTCAACGAACACCTTCCCAGACGTTGCTGCATTCGATGCCATTACGTCGGATGTGCTGCAACGGATGTGGAATGAACTGGACTATCGCTTGGACATCTGCCGTGTCACACGGGGCGCCCATATCGAACATCTCTGAAGGTGAGACAAAACTTTGATAGTTTATCTGTCGCTACGTAGCTGTAGTTTGGTTACAATAAACATACATTCGTCTAAAATTAATTTTCTTATTGGCCTATTCATTTTGACTAACCCTGTATATTACATGTAGCATTAATAATATTGCAGTAGAGCTATAGTACAATACAGTAATTTATAATACTAATATTGTGCTATGCTAATAATGTATTGTATATACATAATGTAATGCAATATAATTATATATTACATGTAATATTACTACTAATATTGCAGTAGAGCTATAGTACAATACAGTAATATATAATACTAATATTGTGCTAGGCTAATAATGTATTGTATGTACATAAAATATTGATAATATTATAATGTAATGCAATATAATAATTATATATTACATGTAATATTACTACTAATATTGCAGTATAGTGGTATAGTACAATATAATAATGCATATCACTAATATTGTGCTATGCTAATAATATAATTTATTGTTTGTACATTTCACTTGTGAGCTGCTCTGAGTCCCCTTCGGGGTGAGAAGGGTGGGGCATAAATGTCATAAATAAATAAATATATACTCTAAAGCGATTGTATCTAGTGTGATGAAAATATTATATGTCAAAGATTACTTTGGGGATTAGTAACAGCAATCTGATTCAAATATTCCCACTCTTTAGAGGACGGTGGCAACAACCAGCTACTGCAGTTATCTACCCACCTTGCCATTCTCACACTCCGGAGGAAAAGTAATGCCATGGAACCTTAAAATGTTAATTGACGTATATTATGGACCTTTGTTGGTAAAAACATGTTTGAGTTGAGAGGCCACCAATTTGGATGGAAGTGACAGGAAAAAGAGTTCCAGATACCTTGCATATCTGTGATTTCATTGACGCAGGCAGTTCCTCTACTGACGCAGATTGAAAACCATTCCATACATAGCTGCTATAATGCACCCGATGGCTATTCTTCTTATGAGATTGAACAATCAGCAAGCTTTCCCCATGATTGATGGACACAGGGATGCCCTCGAGGGCCAAAGTGAAACCTTGCTATTTGGCAGAACCTGCTGAACATGTGCTCATTTCACAGAGCTTCCAGAACCCAAGTTGGAAAAACCTGGTATCCAAGATTCACATTTGCAAAGTGATGAATGATAGCAATTCTGAGCCGGCAGCCAACGGACATGGTGGGATAATACACCGTTCATATTGTAAAAAAATTAGCTATTCATAATTCTTGTTCACAAACTGGGAAATATGCCCCAAAATTCTTACGTTCAAAGACTATAGCCTCTTCATATACCATATATACTCAAGTATAAGCCGACCCGAATATAAGCTGAGGCACCCAATTTTACCACAAAAAACTGAGAAAACTTATTGACTCGAGTATAAGCCGCAGGTGGGAAAAGAAGCAGCTACTGGTAAATTTCAATATAAAATTGATCCCAATAAAATTACATTAATTGAGGCATCTGTACATTAAATGTTTTTGAATATTTACATAAAACTGTAATTTAAGATAACACTGTTGAACTTTGATTAAACCATTATTCTAACCTTCAATGTAAATGTGCTTACTTATCCTTACGTACATGAGGATGCTTGCCATAGATGCAGGTGAAACGTCAGGAGAAAATGCCTCTAGAACATGGCCATATAGCCCGGAAAAACCTACAACAACCTACTGCTTACGTATCCTTCCAATAATAATAAAGTAAAGCAAAAAATGTGAATAATAACAATAGAGAAAAATAGTAAATGTAATAATAATAGAGTAAAATAATAAATGTAAAAAATAATAGAGAAAAATAATGGAATGTAATAATAATAATAATAATAATAATAGAGTAAAATAATAAATAAATTTGACTCGAGTATAAGCCATGGGGGGCTTTTTCAGCCTTAAAAAAGGGCTGAAAAAATTGGCTTATACTTAAGTATATACAAGTAATTACATTCAAAGATTGCTCTGTTTAAGCCTGCTACTATACAGTTCAGAAGTAACATGTTGGATCCCAATGCTCTAGGAACCTGTTGGAAAATGCTGCTAATGTGATGTGAGTTGCAATCTGAAAAGGATCCCAGCTAAGCAGAGGGCATGCAAAGATTTGCAGCTATTTTATTTACAAGTATACATTTAACACAAAGAAACACTGATATTCAAGCCTATTAATAGTAGTGTAACAATATGCATCATTTGGATGATTATTCTAACCCAACTACACTGAAAAATTAATGCCAGTAAAATTATTGGTCATAATATTAAGAAATACAATATATAAATTGAAAATATGATTGCTTAAAATTTGAAAATGGAAGTGAAGCCATTTCTCTCTCTCTCTCTCTCTCTCTTTTTTTTTTTGTACAGGAGTCAGAGTTTAACATAATCTGAAGGGAAAAAAGTCTCCAACTGACTGTATATTGTTCAGGTTAACAAAAGAAGAAAAAGCGTAGTTTCGCTGTGAAGGGAACAGGCAGTTTGCTTCTTTAGGTAGAACGGCGTATTCCCAGTGTTCAGCCTCCGCTGTGCAATCACATCACCGAGCACGAAGACTTCCCTTGTGAAGATGCCCCATCAATTTTTTCGGCCTCCAAAATTATCCTCCTGAAAACATCAACCGCAGTCTGTAAGAGATGGAGAGAGAGGCCATTAAGAGCCTTAAAGAACACACAGAGTAGCTCTCATTAGTTTAGAGCAGCAACATGGAGGGTAAACAGTAGGTTATTATTTCTAGTTCAACAACAGAAGTCTTAGTAAAAATCATTCTCATTACAAGAAGTTCTTTAAAAGGGCAATTAACCCTACCTATTGGTTCACAAGGCATTTCTGACCCAACTTTCACTGCTGAACAAGAAGCTGAACTCTGCTCTAGGAGAAGTTCTCCCTCTATTCCATGATATTTAACGTACGGTACTTACATGTATCAAATGTGCCATAGAATCTAAGTAGTGCCTTCGTTTTTAAAACTTGAAACCCAAAGAAGTATTTGCTGGTGAATGTGTAGCGGCAAAAAGTACTCTCTTTACAATCCACTGATTCTGCCCAGAGTTTGATGATGTGTTCTCTATAAGAAATGATTAGACTCGGGATATTTTTAATGGAATGGATCACGGGTATTGTAGCACAGTGGGTTAAAGTGTAGTGCTGCTGAACTTGCTGACCGAAAGGTCGCAGGTTCGAATCGGGGAGCGGCGTGAGCTTCTGCTGTTAGTCCCATCTTCTGCCAATCTAGCAGTTCGAAAACATGGAAATGTGAATAGATCAATAGGTACTGCTCCGGCGGGAAGGTAATGGCACTCCATGCAGTCATGCTGGCCACATGACCTTGGAGGTGTCTACGGACAACGCTGGCTCTTCGGCTTAGAAAGGGAGATGAGCACCACCTCCCAGAGTTGGACACGACTGAACTTAATGTCAGGAGAAAACCTTTACCTTTACCTATTTTACTTCCATATTGATTTTGTATTGTTATTTTTTTGGTGATTAATTTTAAATTGATTGATAGTCCTATTACTGTTCATTGTTTGCACTGTTGGGAGCTGCGCTGAGGCCCCTTGGGGAGATGGGAGCGGGATACAAATAAAGTTTATTATTATTGAGTTATTTAACTCTCAACGCCATTCCAATCATTGTTCTGGATTGCATGGACTTGTAAGAAGGCAAAGTCGCATAGTGGTAGAGTGTCATTCTGGAGGTGGGGAGACCAGGACTCACTGGGCCTAGTTTGTTTCTTGGTTTTTATCCATTCCTTCAGTTACAAAAGAAAATGCCTTCCTTTACTTGTTTGTTTGCACATTCACCTGTATCATTCATCCTCATAATGGAGCCCCCAGTTAAACTCTTGAGCCAGCAGGACTACTGACCAAAAGGTCGGCGGTTCAGATCCGAGGAGCAAGGTGAGCTCCTGTCTGTCGGCTCCAGCTTCTCATGAGGGGAAATGAGAGAAGCCTCCCACAGGATGTTAAAACATCAAACATCTGTGTGTCCCCTGGGCAACGTCCTTGCAGACGGCCAATTCTCTCACACCAGAAGCGACTTGCAGTTTCTCAAGTCACTCCTCACACACAAAAAAAATGATGGGTTTGTGCCATTTCTGGTCATGTTCTTAAAGATTTAGAATGAAGCCCGAATGATTGATTTGACACAATATATATCCTACATTTTTCTCTTGCAAGACTCAAGATGGCTTTTGAAAACAGAGTTAAGACTCCATCATTGGGGCTGTCATTATATCAAGCACAAAACAAACCACAATCCTTTATATACTGTAATAAATGTGTTAATTTTTAAGTGACCACAAAACTCTTGCTATTTTGCTGCAGCTGACTAACATGGGCCTCTTGGTGGAAGTTGTAATTTGTTTCAGTGATTAAGTTCACTCTAATTGGTGTTCAACTGGATGGAACTGTTGCAGCTTGCCCAGGATGCTGGAATGGGACAGATTAGGCATTTCAGGAATATCTTGGCAGGCAAGTTCATATAATTAAACATAAAAATGAAAGGTATGTAAGCTGTTGATTACAATAGGCTGAGGAAAAGTTATCTGAAGTGAATTCCAGTCCTGAAAATTATGAAGCTGGATAATTGTTTTGCATGTGTGCGCATGTGGGTTGTACACTTTCAAGTAGTTTTCGATGTACAGCTAGCCAAAAGCAAACCTATCATGGGTTATTCTTGGAAGATCTGTTCAGAGAGGTGTGTCACAGCCTTTCTGGAGGCTTTTTTTTTGTCGTGTCAAGAGCGACCTGAGAAACTGCAAATCACTTCTGGCGTGAGAGAATTGGCCGTCTGCAAAGACGTTGCCCAGGGGACACCTGGATGATTTGATGTTTTTACCATCCTTATGGGAGGCTTCTCTCATGTCCCAGTATGAGGAGCTGGAGCTGATAGAGGGGGCTCTTCCGCCTCTCCCCGGATTTGAACCTGTGACCTGTTGGTCTTTAGTCCTGCTAGCACAGGGGTTTAACCCACTGCACCACCGGGGGCTCCTTCTGGAGGCTGAGAGTGTAGAACTTACTCAAGGTCTGTCACATTGCAATTACACTTCCAAATTCACTGAATTTGCACATATAAAAGAGATCTTGACCTACTCCAGCACCTGTAATGGCAGCTTTGTTATATACTCTATTTAGTGCAAATGTAATAAAATGTTGTTGTTTATTTGTTCAGCCGCTCTTGACTCTTTGTGACCTCCTGGACCAGCCCACACCAGGGCTCCTTGTCAGCTGTCGCCACCCACATTTCCTTCAAAGTCAAGCCAGTCACTTCAAGGATAACATCCATTCCAATTTTCTCCAGCATCATTCTCTTCTCTAAGCTTTCCTGTCTTCTCATAACATGGCCAAAGTACTTCATCTTTGCCACTAATATCCTTCCCTCCAGTGAGTCATTAGGCATTATTTCCTGGAATATGGACTGGTTGGATCTTCTTGTGGTCCAAGGCACTCTCAGAATTTTCCTCCAACACCACAGTTCAAAAGTGTCTATCTCCCTTCGCTCAGCCTTCCTTATGGTCCAGCTCTCGCATCCATAGGCTACTACAGGGAATACCACTGCTTTATTTTCGCTGCCAGTGTGATGTCTCTACTATTTTATTGAAGTTGGTCATTGTGGGGAAAATACATCAGAACTTTTAAAAAATACTGTATACTGATTTTATGCCGATTCTTTTGTCCAAAATATGAAGTGCAACTATTATGCAAAACTTTTTAAAGGGAATCACAGTCAATGTAGAAAATGTACTGTCTTTTAAATCAGTTTTTCAATGGGACCACCAGACCTTTTAAAATCACTTCTTTTAATGGGAACCTCATAAAATTTACTTTTAGCAATGCAAACCCCTTGATCTTTTAAATGTGTGGAACAAAATTACCTAGGTGACAATTACACAATGGAAGGCTAATTTTTGAACCGAAAAATAGACTGCAATGCTTATGCAATGGATTACGATAGGTTGAATTCTGTCTAATACAAAAAATGGAAGAATGGCGATCCCTTTGGGAAGTCATCCTTCGGAATCCCAACACTCTACCATAGATATTAAGTTTCAGGTGTTAAAATAGATCATGTTGATAATGACAATATTTTTTTTCATTTTTTAAAAAATTCACATATAGAACCTCTTAAAAATTGTGACCACAAAAGGGACACTAGCACAGAAAATGCACTAGGATTATCCACAGTAAAGAGACAGAGTGACCTAGATCATTCATGTGGAATAGCATCTCAAGGCTGGCACAATGGAGGCTCCAATATTTGCTCCTTTATCTGTTCTGCTCAGCGAGAGTTATTTTCCAAGAAGGTGCAATTATGAATAAAGCCCACTTTGAAATCTGTTACACTGGACTCAAATGTTCCCTTGAGCATCTTTATAGAGGACGCAGTACAGTTAAGTGGTAACATGACAATTAACTGTATAGTGTCCCAATTAATGCTAGATGTGCACAGTGTCTCATTATGACAATAAAGTTTTCTAAGCACAAATAATATATATGTATTGTCGAAGGCTTTCATGGCTGGAATCACTGGGCTGCTCTGAGTTTTCCGGGCTGTATGGCCATGTTCCAGAAGCATTTTCTCCTGATGTTTTGCCCACATCTATGCCAGGCATCCTCAGAGGTTGTGAGGTCTGTTGGAAACTAGGCAAGTGAGGTTTATATATCTGTGAAATGTCCAAGGTGGGAGAAAGAACTCTGTGTGACTGATGCAATTTGCCACCTTGTTTACATTGAAGAATTTTTTTTTAATTATAAGTAATGTTCAACAGCCAGTTGGCTGCCTCAGAAGGTGATGGACTCTCCTTCTTTGGAGGTCTCTAAACAGAAGCTTGATGACAATCTTTTAGGATCATTTTGTCTGTATATTCTGCATGGTATGAGGTTGGACTAGATCAGGTCTCTTCAACATGCAGACCTCCAGGTGTTTGTGCCTCCAACTCCCAGAAGCCTGTTCAATGGTAAGGAATTCTGGGAGCTGAAGTCCAAAACAACCAGAGGGCTACAGGTTGAAGAGGCCTGGACTAGATGTTCCTTCCAGCTATATGATTCCATATGCTAGTGGCTTTAAAGTCGAAGGTTCTAAATATTATTCTTAGCTGATGTTCTCATGCTAGAAAATGAAAATTTATGCTGGCAAGTCCACTCTAGTGCTGCAACTTAAAAGTAAACTAGCTCGGCATTGGTCTATGCCAGTGGTTACCAGCCTGTGCTCCGTGGACCAGCAGTGGTCGGCAAGAACTAAAATATGACCCGTGGCCTCACAGCTACTACACCTTTGCAAAAAGAATGACTGGTCTTGCAAAACCCTCTTATAGTGCTGAGGCTTATTATATATAGTTTTCTGTGGACGAGTAGATGGCGACTACTAGATGGCATATGCTCTGTATCAAAAACTAGAGCTGTTGTGGTCTAACCAACGCAATGTTCTGAATCAGCACCCCAAATGACCAAACTGAATCTAAAGTTGACCAAAAACTGATTTGTAATCCTTTTGGTATTAATGTTGGAGAGTTGTCCCTGGTCAAAAAAGTTGGGAACCACTGATATAATGGGACTTGAGCATCCATGGGTTTTGGTATCCACATGGGGTCCTTGAACCAAACCTCAGTGGATAGCGAAGACCCATTGTATTACATCATCCATGAAGTTCAAAACATGTAGTTTCTTACAAGGACATCATAACGTAATACAGCAATAAAATAGTCTGACTCTAAAAAATTCAAAAATATCATCCAAAACATTATAAACAACCGTTGACCTGGGCCCATTAGAATAGACATCTTTCTCCAGTTCTCAAAGACTCATTTTTCCCTTTAGCATTGGTTTTCGTTTTGATTTTTATCATTCTAGATGTAGGTTCTTAACAATGCAAGGTTGGGAACCACTGGTCTGTGAAGAAAAGTACAAATTTATCTAGCCTCCCATCCTGTCCCCCTTTTTCTATTGATCTCACCTGCAATTTTAAGTAGCTATAATCAAGTGACTGCAGTTGTGACATGGGTATTAATGTTGTCTGAAGCTTTCATCATTTGGTGACACTTCATAATAATCACTCAATGAGATGCAAACAACCAAGCAATGGCCTTTCCACAAATGACTCTTAAGCAGGTTGTAGGAAGCTCCTTTCCCATTTTCCTGCCTGCTTGGATGCCTTCTAGATGTGTTGGACCACAAACTTCATCATCCGAACACGTTTGGGAAAGGCTACCTTAGAAGTACATACTTCAACTGCAATTCCTGAGGCCAATCTGGTGAAATGTGTTACCTGGTTTTCTTTAGCGGAGGATTCCAAGAAAGCTGCATTCCAGGATTCTGCTAAAGCTTTCCCTTCTTCGTAGCTGATCACCCTGAGTGGAGGAGGGGAAGAGTGATTAAACCAACTTTAAAATGATAACGTTTAGACAGTAACCATAACTGATTGCCAATCACTTAGCACTTTATATCTACATTGTGTGCATTCAGCTGGGCTGCTGTATTGATTACATGGATCTTTTAACTGATCCTATTTTAATAGAGGTAGTTTTATCCAATTTATATACCTGGTTTATGTAATGTTATTATTGTTTTATTGTATTTTATTTTATGTATTACGTGTTTTAGGTATGGCATCTGCCCCGAGTCACCATAGGAGATGGTGGTGGGGTAGAAATAAAGTGCTGCTGCTGCTGTTGTTGTTTTAAAGATCCAGCTTGAGATTGCTGGAAAATAAATCAGCCTGTTTTGTCAATGCATGTGTATTCAATCTTTTGAAATAACCAATATCTCATGGAGACAATTCTACTTATATTCATTAAAGAAATCATCTGCAACTATCTAGTTTCGAAAAGAGTGTGAGGTAAGTGTACTGTTGGAAGGCAAGCACTAAAAACGAAAGCTCATTCAAAGTGCACAGTGACATTAAAGCTGTAGTGATGGCCACATCTGTTTGGCACCAAGTACTTAGGCACTGTCTCCAGTTATGCATTACAACAGCCTAACAAGAACTCTGCTGTGTGTTATTTTGGGCAGAGTGACTTGGAATAGCAACTGCGTAAAGGCCATGCTCATTCACAGAATGGATGTCTCGCATACCCAGTCATCCAGAAATGTACAGTGCTTGGAATAACTTTTTAAAAAAGAGCATTACTGCAGAAAAGGTAACTTTGAATCTTTTGTCAACTACCACAATTAAAAATTTTATTCTAATCTAAAATATATTAATACCATGATTCCTTGGAGAAAATAAGCAATTTAGAAATGTGTTAAGTAATGTACTGAATGATGATTTTTTAAATAACCAATTAGCAAGTGGGACTAGTAGAGGGTTCAGGTGAATTCTATTGCTATAGCATACAAATAATCCAAGTAAGAGAATAGCTGGAAACAGCTCTACTTTATATTAACAACAACAGCCTGTATTGGCATCCAGTTACAAAAAACTCAACAAAGACTTATATAACAAGAAAATGTTGCAGATAAAAAAAGAAAAGGCATAATTAAAAATTACTAATCTCAAGAATAAAATTTGCAACATTCTCACAAAAGAATGCATCATTTGTTGAGGAGGTATGGAATTTGATAACATCCTCACCCTTGAGAATACTGTGAAAAAATGGAATTCCCTTGACTTGGTTACTTCTTTATATTAGATTCTATGAGACAAGAAAACAGTGGGCATTGTCTCCAAGATTGGAGAAAAAAAGTCTATCCTTGGACTGGGAAATTCAGTCTCCAATTCACAAACCCAGCCATTTTAGAAATCTATAATTTATTTACCCTATTTATACCCCGCCTTTCTCTATCCCGAATGGGGCCCAAGGCGGCTTCAAATAAGAAGTCTCCCCTCTGAACCCAGGATCCCAACCGCAAGGAAGCGGGAAAATGAGTCTGCTGGAGCCAGAGCAGGATGAGCTGTGAATCCAGAACCTGGCCAAACACCAATCCTTTCCCTGACAGAAATTAGGCTGGCTCAAACACTGGCATTATTTACGCCTCTTACTGTAACTGTAATGGGAAGGAAATTCAATTGGGGAGGGATGCCTGCATGGAGTGCCATGTGTTGCCAAAGGAGTGCCTCCATCTTGTCCTTGTGGACAGAGCTTGGCAAGGTCCAGGGGTAGATCAAAGGCTCTATTACTGGAGTGCTCTACCAGTGAGCACAGGAGTCCTTTCCAAGAAGCATTTTGTGTTCCCGATAACAGGAGGAGGTGAAGTAATATTCAAACAACAGGTGGTTTTAGGTGGCTACATGAACAATACTCTGGCCGAAATTTAGAGTATTGTCGAAGGCTTTCATGGCTGGAATCACTGGGTTGTTGTAGGTTTTTCGAGCTATATGGCCATGTTCTAGAAGCATTCTCCTCTGATGTTTCACCTGCATCTATGGCAAGCATCCTCTGAAACATCAGAGGAGAATGCTTCTAGAACATGGCCATATAGCCCGAAACACCTACAACAACCCAGAAATTCAGAGTGCTTTTATATCCTCTGAAGTGCCACTGCAACACAAGAAACAGTGGGCCTAAAGAGCAATGCAGAGTACACATCTGTTTGCCAGAACTCATTTTACAGTCTTTGCTGTGAGCATGGGGAAAGGCTCAAATTCAGGAGGATCCATGTAACCAAAGAAGCCAGAGACCTGGACAGGCACGGGCGCTTGTCCTCTATCAGAAGTACATAGAGAGTACATTAAGGGACAAGAATGAGGAAAAGCTGGAAAAAATGGAACAGGTAATAGTAAAGCTTTGGCCAGTATCTAAATATTACTAAATGATTAAGTACTTGACTATTTATTACCAGTGGAAGGAAGCCTTATGCAAATTTAAATCAACTTAGTTATGGAACATTAAATTTCTGTAGTGAGGTTTAAATTTAAAACACTTAAATATTTTGGCCGTTATCCTGGGTCAAACTCAACCCTTGCAAATATCTTAAATGCCCATGATTACAGTTATGAGGTTACAGGGGGAGGCACTCTTCTCTTCTGATGCAAAATTAAGAGTGCATGGGCACACAGGCATAGTACACCAACTCCCTAAGGCATCAAGGCAGTAAGTAACATCTCTGTTTGTCCCATGGAGCTCACTAGGTGAATCCAGCAACCTAATTCATGCTACTGGGTGGCTGCAAGAATGAACTGGGGTAACCCAGAAAGACTGCTCTGGGAACCTTGGAAGAAGGGCAGGACACAAATGTGCTAAATATAGTACATTCTTGGCTCTGTCATACTTGTCTGCAATTAAGTAGGTCAGCGACTTGCCCATGTTCCAAACTTAGGAGAATTTACAAGTGTAGGCAAACAAGGAGCAAGAATCTTCTGAAGCATATATTTATCCGAGATAATATATCGTAAGAAAAGGCAGTCACTGGCAGGAACATTTCATGACTTGATCATTTGCTGCCTATGTGTGGACTATTCCACTCTAAGTGCTTCAGTACATTTTAGCTTTTAACAGGCTTGAAATAGAATCATAATATTCCTGAGAAGAAAATTACATACCGTTCCATATGCAGGTCTTTTTTATTTCCAACCAACATAATGGGGATCCTGTGGAAGAAAAAAAACCCCACACATCACTCTCAAGAGCAAAAATTACTGTGTGAGGAGTAATATGATACCATAATGAAATATGGAATGAAATGAGAGTCTTACTACTTACTGGACTTTTCCCACCATATCCAATAACTTGCCATGGATAACTTTAATCACTTCAAAACTGCAAAATAAAAGGATGACATCATACACACTCTCCAACGTTGCACCGCCCTAACATTTCTACCCAGCCCACAAGTAATTCCGTAAAGATCAATGCCAGATGCAACTTTCACTCTGCTGAACCCTCAAGGAAGTTTCTATGGCATAAAAACAAGAGATATGTACTAATAGTAGTTGTGTTAATTACATGTTTGGGGGGAGGGGTTTCGAGTCAGACCCTTTTCTCGCAATGAAAGTGTAATTCTAGGGGCAACAGTGGAAGGGTGATAGTAGTGTTTTCATTTGCTCCTCACTGACTCTGGTACCATCCTTGAGTTTTTAACCTAAGAGACATGTGGCAGTTGTACCGATAAGCATGACAGTCATCAAAGAAGAGAAGGGAAGATGGAGGAGAAAAAGAATCATGGAATGCTGCCTCATGGTGCACATGCAGGAAAAGGAGGCCTCTCTGCGAACAAAATAAAGGGACATCAAAAGGAAAAATGGTTTCACTACAGAAAAGACAAAAAACCTGGAACTGAGGAAGAGCAGAAGTGGAACCACATGAGAGTAGAGACACGTGGCGGATCAGAGAATAGATACAGAAGACAGGTCAGACAAAACAAGATGGTTGGACACAAAGATGTGAAAATGAGAACCTAAGAGGAAGGGAGACCAAAGAAAGGAGGAACACGTGGAAAATAAAATAAACTATGGAGGTAATGAAGAATTTGAAATTTAAAAGACTGAGAGTGGAAGAGTGCAGGTGACTGAAGGAAGAAGAGAGGCTCAAAAGTGGACTACCTAAAAACAGGGCAGAAAAACATCAAGGATTATGTTGTTTGTAATTATATTTAACTAATTTTAGAATATTTCAGTAAGATTTTTTTTCCAGCCTGAAGTAGGGGCTATTACAATATATTACAATGCTTGTTACAGTCTCTAAAGAATAAAATTACTTTGACTTCTATTGAATTATGTTGTACGGTTTTTGAGGGATTAATTATTCAAAGCAATGCAGTATTAATTATTCAAAATATAGCCCACCCTGCTCCATCCAAATGAGGATTAAAGTACTAGACCCACTACAGCAACTATATCTGCATGCGACTTTATGAACCTATTTGAATATCAATGTCTTTGTATCTTGCATCTTCCCTTTGTGTGTATTTCTTTTCTAACCTTGGCTCCTTTGCTTTCAGTGTGTGAGGGGGTATAGAGATGGGAGCTTTTCCAAAACTCTTCTCCCATTAGTAAAATATAGGCGCAGGGGGTGGGGTGATTGAAATTGTGGATGGGATTTTCATTTTCTTTCTAGTGATGTTTTTAGCACAATAATTTAAATTGAACTGAAAATGAAAAACTGAAGCCTGGATTTCCTTTTTTCAGTGACAAGAGGTGTGAATGTGATTTTTTTAAATAATAAAGGAGTTACAGTGTTGAGCTTTAAAGCACATGATGGCTAAACATTTAAATTGCAAAGTCAGAGGGGGGGGGGGGGGCTTTCCATTTAGACCAGTTGCATAATCCACCGGGAAATTCCCTTGCACAATATCCATCAACATGACAATGAGTTGCACAACCACACTAGAGTTTATGCAGACATGTGACCTTGAACATGAAGGATTGAAAACCAGATTATTGCCAGTCAATTGGGTCAGGAGTTCATTTTAGAGGAGCAAATAGAAAAAGAGAAAACTAGAAACTTGTCATTGTGGTGGCTTGATAGCCACTGAAATGGAAAACAATAACCGAAATATCAGAATTCCAACAGATCATGGTTCGATCTAAAACCAATTCACAAAAAAGGCCTGAACATACTTTACTTTTCCTATTCACAAATCTACCAAATTAACATCATCATTCTCTCCTGTGTATATGTATTGCAATGTTTGCATTTGATAACACTGATGCTTTAAACTCCCACTCCCAATCATCTTTCAAAATTAACCAATAATTAAAAGGTGAAACAAGAATAGAAAGAACTGCCAACACAAGCATTTATGGCCTCAGCTCCTCCCAACACACCAAGTTTGTAGTGTGTATCTGAAATCACCAGCTGCTGCTCTCTCATTTGCCTTCCACCTCAATATAAATGGATGAGGCTCAACAGTGTTCCTCTCTACCCTTTGGACAACAAGTTCTCGGGGATTCGTAGTGCTTCTCACTGCCTGTGCTGATTTGTTCACAGTATAAACTATCTTGAAACATAGCATTAAAACTGAGATGAGATTATGTCAGGTTTGCAAAAGCAAGGTAGAACAGCCTTCTCCAATCTGACACCTTCTGATGTGTTAGACTGCCGGGTTGCTGTGAGTTTACCAGGCTGTACGGCCATGCTCCAGAGGCATTCTCTCCTGACGTTTTGCCCACATCTATGGCAGGCATCCTCACAGGTTATGAAGTCTATTGAAAGCTAGGCAAGTGAGGTTTATATATCTGTGATGTGTTAGCTGGCCCTGACCGATTCTTGCTGGAATTGACCTGTTTTCTAAGTGTTGTTCTTTATTTACTGTCCTGATTTTAGAGGTTTTTTAAATACTATTAGCCAGATTTTGTTAATTTTCATGGTTTCCTCCTTTCTGTTGAAACTGTTCACATGCTTGTTAGAGTACTATTCCCATAATTCCTAGAGAATCTGGAGTGTATCAAGCTGGGGAACTGAATTTGCCAGCATAGCCTATGGAGACAGAGGAGGAAAAGCTAAAGCCTAATAACCTAAGGACCAAACACTACCTACCCCTATTTTAGGGCTCACAACCTACAAACTAAACACAATAGGAATACTAAATAAGACTGGGATGCAACAAGTATCATGGTGTTAACTGAGTGCAGGACAAGGTTAAGTCAGATAGCAGTGTCAAGGTTCATAAAAAAAGTGGTTTGTGAGCTAAATTTGCCCCATTCCATGGATAGCTTATGATTCAATGCCAGGAAGGACAGGACACAACTTTCATAGCTTGAAGGTGAAAGTAGAGAAGATCGGAAACCTTATTTGACGAGGGATACTAAGCACGCTAATCTTTGCTATCCAAAAACACAGCTCTTGAGACTCACAGCATGTGGGGTCTTTTAAAATAAGGTGGGATTAGTGGGAAGCAGTTTCTGCACTCAAGACTTCTAAACAAAGTTCAACGTTTTCAGCATATTAGCTTGGAAACTTTTAAAAAATATGACATCAATATTTTTATAAAGACTATACACACGCTTAGCAATCTTGCTACACAAGAAATCTATTTTTAAATCTTTTTATGACAAAGTAAATTATTTTCCTGCCACCCTGCAGCCAAGAACACACACATATGAGAAAGTGATAATTGTGTCCCATTGCAAAAAATGAAGCTCAAGCAAAGGAAATTTCCACCTCAGGAGAATGCCTTAATATTAACACAAGAACACAAGGTTATGCAGCCTATTAAGATTCTTGCCCTCTGCTGGCTGGTAGGATATGTTCACAAACACTGCCCACTAGTAAGGAGATCTGTCCAAGCCCTAAACGCATACGGCAAATGGATCAAAGCTGCCCTCTCACTTTACACAGGTCTCTGGACACTTGTAGGTCAGTAATGCCACAGGATGACTTCCTAAGTGATTGGACTAAAGGTGAAAGTCTCTCGATCCCATTAGCAATCTCCTGTCCACAGCAATATGCCTTAGATTCTCAATCACTTAATTGCTTTGAGATGGTGCCAAGGTTTCTCTTTCAGGAGGCAGGGAAGGCTAGCAGCAAATTAGTGGACTATTCTGGTCTGAAGCAAACTGCCTTTCTTCACTTTTCACCTTAATGTGAAGTATGGAAAATGACAGGAACTACACATTCCATTTTTTTCAGATCCTGAATTATATTTTGCCTATATTTGTTTATTTCTCTACTTAAAAATAAAGGATACCCACAGAATACACAATGTCTGCGTAACAGTAGCAGATTAACTAAGGCAATGTCAGATGCTCTAACTTTCAAGCATCTGATCGGTCTGCATCCATGCACAACATGGCACAGCAATACTGCCTGGTACCACTGACTGCAACTGAAAATGACAATAATGTGACAGCCTCTACTCAAGGCACAGCATGTTATACTATGGCTCTGCAGAAACAGAGATTTTTAAGCAATTATTATTACACGACTTTCACCACTCTACTCAAGAGAAAGGGATGGTTCCTTCTTAGGATAATAGTTAAGATACAGCACCCACATTGACTCATGGATAAACTGACCCAGATTTTTGGGGTTGTTTTTTTTCAAAAAAAAAAAAAAACCCTACAATTTCTACATGTATAAAGGAGTATATGCAGTAATGCCGTGCCACAAAAGCAATATAAAAACTCACAGAAATGAGTAACTCAATATAGTTCTTATGTATATCCAAACATTAAACAAAAGAAAATATTAAGGCATGTTTGTGTTTGCGTTTTCGAATTTTCTACTGCTTCAGAGAAAGAATGCAAAGCCTATGGATGATAAAAACTTCCAAGTTTCATCATGCACCAGACCTTTAGAGCTGGTGGGAACTGCAGTGCGACAACTGAGGGAAAAAGTCTGAAGAGCCAAAATAAGAAGTCAGGCATACCTTTTTATTGATGTGACTGAGTAAACAAGAATGTAGCCATTAATGTCTATAGAGTAAGTCTGAGGAAATATTGAATATTCATCCTGTTGGGAGATAAAAAGGTGCATGTTAATGTTTTGTGCCCAAAGAAGCTTATGGATAAGCTTGAAGAACCGGGTTAAGATTAAGCACGTTTAATCCTTGCATTGTTAAAATGCCATGCATGAACGTACATGTACCAACATCCTTTCATGGCTCTGTCTTGCGTTCTTGTGAATTCCTTGCATAGCTGAAGGATTAGAATTCCTATACGAAAGTCTAAAACAGCAGCAAATGGCCCAGCGGAAAACACAAGACATCATCTGGGAAAACTGACATTATATTGGCATGGCATGCTCTTTCACTCTTCTGTTTACAATTAGCAGTTATGATGGAGGTACATTGAAATCTGAGAACTATTAACCTTACTTCATATGCAGTGCTCTTGAAAGTTACCTATAAGCTTTATATGGTGCAACAAAATAGACTGTTTCTACAGTACTATATTTCTGCTTATAAAAACAATAAATGAGATAATCTACTCATGTTCAATGGTGTTATGTACATTTTAAAAGATTTTTTTTGGCTAAAAGGTAATTTATCACTAACAATTTCTAGGTGCCTATAATCCAGGTACAACAGTAGCCTTACACCAAAGATGGACCACAAATTTCACATAGAACATAACGTCTCTTTCAACCCCCAGATTCGAAGAAATCCACATCATACTTTGTTGTTGTTTAAAAAAAAAAAATAATAATCCAGAACTGGCTGAAAGCAAAACATTTTGGATTTTGGAGGGTTTTGGGTGTTCAGATAAGGGGACTCAACTAGTATTTTGACTTTTTTGTTTTTCTCTTTCTAATGATTTTTATGTTTTGTGTTGGTTTTATTAATATGTACAAAATTACATTCTGCGCTTATGATGCTTACACAATACTTAGGACAATTAAGAAGAAACAGTAAAGGTAAAGATTTTCCCCTGACAATAAGTCCAGTCTTGTCTGATTCATCTCCATATCTAAGCTGAAGAGTCAGCGTTGTCCGTAGACACCTCCAAGGTCATGTGGCTAGCATGACTGCATGGAGCGCTGTTACCTTCCTGCTGAAGCAGTACCTATTAATCATATCACATTTGCATTTTTTCAAACTACTAGGTTGGCAGAAGCTGGGGCTAACAGAGGGAGCTCATGCCGCTCCCCGGATGTGAACCTGAACTTACCTTTTGGTAAGTTCAGCAGCTCAATGGTTTAACCCACTGCTACTTGTTTCTCTCCAAATTTCACACAAACTGCAACCAGTCAGTATAGTGGGGTGGGAAACATACAGCCCAAGCATGATATCCTTGGGTTATCTAGTGAGACTCCATGACCTGCCGAGCTCTTCAACGAGTTGGGGAAAAATTACAAAATTACAAATGCTTTTATGGAGTGGGGAAGGCTGCAAAAATGCAAAATAACCAATACCCAAAGGTAAATATGAGTGACACAATGTCTTTCTGGTTGCCCAAAATGACAGAAATAATCTATTGAGGCCTCCTGGAGCATCTTAAAAACTGGGTGGTGTGGACCTCCAGGGTCTGGATGGATTCCATGCTTGCTGCAGGGGAAATTCAAACCTATTTCCACTTGAAAAAAGTCTCAAACCCTGCTGCTTCCTATTCCAGGTCTTCTGTACAATCATGCCAATCACAAGGTATTATCACTGGAAAGACTAGCAAGGTTGCGAAGATCACATACCTGCCCAGCTGTGTCAACTACTTGAAGATGATATTCTTGTCCATTTACTGTAATCAGCTTTGTGAATGCTAGACAAATGAGAGAAAGGCATTTTAGTGTTTTTAAAGAATTCCTAGCCAGCATGACTACATGGAGTGCCATTACCTTCCCAAAGAAGTGGTATCTATTGATCTACTCCCATTTGCATGTTTTTGAACTGCTAGGTTGGCAGAAGCTGGGGCTAACAACAGGAGCTCACCCTGATCCCTGGATTTGAACCACCAACCTTTTGGTCAGCAATTTCAGCAGCTCAGTGATTTAACCCGCTGCGCATTTGCTTAATACCAATGTAAAAATAATCTGCTTTAAAATGAATATAGTCATGGATAATAATACTTCCTAATCAGATATTTTATTTTATTTATTTAGAGTGTCTATTTTTAAAGGAAGACTGAGGATAGCTCATGTATATCATCACAATGAGCTTAATATATCCATTAAATGCACTTTTTCAGATGTAGTTTTAAACCTAACAGAGTCTTCGATCCAATGAGTTTAAGAACTAATATGAATAAAGAACAGGTCACAGAACTATTTTTATGCTTGCAAGTGGTTTCATTTCAGTGACATCTGGAATGCTTTTAAAATAGCTCCACGATCAGCCTTAACCAAACGTGTACTACTCAGCAGTGGGTTACTACAATAGCTATAATAACAAGCCAGCATGGCAACTGCTTTTTTGCCTGGGGATGATAGAACTGCAATCCAATGTATCTGGAGGATATCTAGTTATGCAGGGGGTGGGATTCATAAACCTTCCAATGCTACAAAGCTATATATTCTTGCTGCCCTAATTCAGTATAGCCAAGGATTAAACATGCTGGGAGCTGCAGTCCAAAACATCTGGAAGTCTGCAAGATTCCTTCGCTTCCAGTTAATCATCGTCTGCAACAACACTGGTTTCACAGCCACACCTTTACTGTTTTCCGAGAAGGAGTAGGAAATTATTCAAATAGCCGCAAAGTCAGCTTATAATGTACATATTAAGAAAGAGTTCCAAGCTTACTCTCATGTATAGATCCAGGAACACCCTAGTTTATAGTCCTAGTCACTCTATGCAACACTGAGTGGATTCACTGTTAACTAAGCATGGGCAGAAAGAGATTGGTATGAGAGCAGCAACAGAATGTTGCTCTCAGTATTGAAGCAAATATGTTTTGGAAAGTGCTCTCTTTTTTAATATCAACTACAGACTAGAATAATTTCCAAATCAACCTGGACGGTGCACTGGTGGAGCAATGTGATTTTAAATAACAGGCAAGTTATTAGGAAAGATCTCTTTTTTGCATGCCTGTGGAAATACTTCAGTTACTTACTGTTCTCTATGGTAGGATCATATGAATCAACAAATTGGCCTTCCACAAATTGAATAGTCAAAGATGATTTCCCTGTTAAAAAAACCACAGTAAAGTAAACCTTAATAGGTAATAACGTTTATGTTAATACGTGCCTAGTGAAAATTCTGCATTTAAAGACTAAAGCACTAAACCACAATCTGAAAGCTTCCTGTCAAAATATGGATACAATTATCTTAGTAGAAGAAAATGAAAAAAAAATGTTAGAAGGTGTCTCATGAGAGTGGGCCATTCTTTTTTCAAACATGAAATACTTTTGACAAGCTAAGAGTTGATGCATAGAGAAAGCTGAACACATCACTTGCTCATCTTCCAACATTGCAGGCACATCCAAACAGCATTCCTTGTATTAGTCATCATCACAATGTAAGCTACAGTTGGAAGAAAAAGGATGGCTTTCTCTGAACAGTGAAGTGCTATAACCTTTATCAGAAAAAAAACTAATGAAGCCTACACCACGAAAAATATGGAGACCTCCAAATCCACAAGGGATTTGTCCCAGCTGGATCATATTTACCTGAAACCACAGGTATAACCAAACATTATTAAATTACCTGAATTACAGTCCTGGCATACTATAAGATCACTAAAAAGAAAAGCTATATTATAAGATCATCCTGGAGGATCTAGAAATTCCTAGCTATGTCTTTTCTAGAAATCTGCTAGGTTATTCAGGATGACTCTATGGTAACTTCTGGGGGAAGTACAGGATAGAATCACTCAGAGAACTTATTAAATTCCTAGAGACCCATTTCTCCCCGGGCATAATTAAACAAAATCACAGATATAAGTTCCGTGGTTACAGGAGTCTTATTGTACTGGAGTGTCTTAGTTATTTTCTTCACTTTATGCAAATATGAAAAAAAATGTATAATACATCTTAAGCTTGAATGCAAGGTTTAAAAATTAACTATTGATTATTTATTTACTATATTTATATACTGCTTTTCTCCCCCCTAAGGGAACTCAAAGCGGTTTCCAACATTATAAAGGCAAAATTAAATGCTGTACATACATGTGAAAACTAAAAGATAATAACAAGACAATAACATATAACTATAAATTAACCTAACCAAATTAAAACATAAACATAAAAGAACATTTAGACATAGAGCATAAAAATTAAACATCGATAATATAATATTTGTTTGAAAACCCGCCGATAAACATGATTTAAAAAGTTATTAAAATCACGCCATCCAAAATCAAGTCCATTGCTCCATTCACTATTCCTTATTTTCTTAAATTTGTCCCTTTTTCTAGCTAGAACTATACTACAGCTTACAAATCCTTAAACTCCTAACTAAACTGGCGAGAATATTCTTACCTCTTCTATTAAATTGTAGACATAGACATACACATATAACTTGCTCCTCAGGCAAAGGATGTTCCAAATCAGACCTCCTGTGAATAGCAGGACACTGCTCTCATTAAAGTGACTTCAACAAATGTTATGTGAAAAGGCCCAATCAGCATAAGGGAAGTGGGTTTATATTCAGTCAGACTATTGATCCATCTAGCTCAGCACTAGAAATATTGGCGGTGACCTTCCTGGAAATGTTTTTGTTTTTTTTTTTGGCCCCAAGGGCCAAATTGATTGTGGTCAAAAATGTCAAGCTGTTGTACTATAGCAGCTGGAAGGAGCACCCTATTTCTGGCACTTGCCCCATGGATATGATTGTTAAGTCTACATTCAGACATGTAAACATGCCCTCCCACTCCTGAAAATATCTCCATAGCACAATTAAGGCTTTCAAATATCCTTCACTATCCCCAACCAAGACTCTCTCTGCAAAACTCACTGAAGTGTGGGAGAATGCGGGTGAGATCTTTTATCTATAATCGCTGTTGGGCAGCTTTGAGAAGTTTTCCCTTCCCGGGGAATCTCTTAAGTCTTGTTTGAAGGTATTAAGGGTTGAACCTTTTGCATAAAGGTTCCCCTAGTGAACCTTTTTTCCCTTAGTGAACCACTACACCATTCATAAAGGTTCCCCTAGTGAACCTTTTTTCCCCTAGTGAACCACTATACCTGAAAGAAAAACCAGCAAATTAAAAGGAACTAGGTAAAACGGTATAAATTCTTAGGATATATAGACACCCTGCTATTTGAAATCAGAATGATTAATATACCAAGTGAATATCTTTTTATCTTTTTATACTGAAAATTTGTTTATATGTATGGTCTTTTTATGTTGTTCCAACTACAACCTGACTGAGAGCACAAAAATCTCACATTGTTGATATGAAGAGCTGGCAATAACCTCAAATAAACCTCATGTGCCATGTATTTTTATAGTTTCCACCGAGAAATAGCTTGACACACTTACTTCTGAGAGCTATTTTGAAATGTAACGAAATACAGTGAAAACACTGGCTTTTAACTTTTTGTAATCAGATGTTATGCCTAGTTGCAAATTTGAGTCTGTGAAAGCTATAGCTTCTAAACACAATACATTTTCCCCTATAATCCAGACAATTACAAATTTCATCTACTACAAAGTGGAACTTTTGACATTTGAGCTTGGCAAAACGTAAGCCACCTGTCATTATTTTAGATATCTAGAAAAGCTTGAACTTTTAAGATACAGCTATATATGTTTTTCTGTGCACAGAACTGCTAGCATCTGCCTGATATGTATGACAAAAGAAGGCAATATAATTCTAAAGCAAGATCATAAACTGTGTTGGGCACAGGTTTACCCTTGTTTACCCTTGTTAGGCTTCAGTGAATGCACACTGAAACTGCATTTTATATTTCAGTTAATCTGAAAGAGAGATTAAATTGAAATGAAGATAACAGCCAATATGCCATTATAACACTTACATTCTCTATTACCTTTTCCATGGTGATTAATCAACACGAGACTGTTTGCTCAAGGAATATACAAATTGTGTCAGACAATAACCTAAAACTAATGTTGTGTTCCTTCTTGCCCTCTTTACAGATTTCGGGCATCTTCTCCAAATAAGAGCTTTGGAAGGTTCTCTTGTAATTCAGAGCAAGTCATGGGGTAAACTGCAACAAAAGGGTGACTCAGATTCCCTGTTCTGGCAGCAGAAGTCCAGTGTCACATTCTGCTCAAGTTCTACACACTACATTTACTGATGTTCTATTCCTAAATTAAAATATACCAGCCAACAGGTGGAAAAATAATAAAGCACAGAATATATAAGACCACTGCAACTACTATTTTAATCTGAAGTAGCAAAACCAAGATAATTTGAATGGGAAACCCTTGTGTGCCCCAGAACACCTTTGTCCCCACTAGCGGGTAGAGATTAATTCTGTTAGGCCAAGACTTTTGTTCTGGTAGAAAAACACAACTCCCATTCTATTAACTGTCACTTTCTTGTAAACGGCTAATCTTTCCAACCCAAGAACATTGTTTTACAACATTCTATGTATTCTAATGTGCCTTGTCCTGACGTAAATTGTTTGTATGATTTTCTTTTGGCACTGAATGTTTGCCATATTTGTTGGAAATAGCCCTGAGTCCCTTCGGGGAGATAGGATGGTCTATAAATAAAATTATTATTGTTATTATTAGTATTATTATTTCTATTATTAATGCTTTTGACATGAAATAAATAAACTTTCTCCCTGCATTTCTGCAACTGCTACTTCAAAGTATCCACAGGGACTGAAAAGATGTATTATATTAATTTCAGACACTACTTAGGCAGAGTTTCTGATGTCCCATTTGATGGACATCACAATGTTCATGTTGGCACAATTATAAAAACTTTTCTCCAGAAACTGCCTTTTCTCAATTGATTTTATCCAATTTTCATTCAAAAGATTTGATAGCATTAATACACACTTTAAATTAAACTATTTTTGGCACAAATCCAGATTGTGTCTGAAGTATGATCAGAGACAGAATCCAGCCTAGATGCTTTGTGGGTGTTGCAGAGTCAGCAAATATCTGTGATCAAAACGTGCTGGTAATTACACTAGATAAAGAATATGGACCTCGCAGAGAACTTGACTGGAAAAGGGAATCAACATTTATAATCTGAATAACCCAAGTTAAATTACTTACTTGACAAACAGCAAACCAGATTAGAATGAGGGAAGAAAAAGAGTATCATTCAAGATGACGTGGGTTACACAATGCGCACGCTTCCAGGCCCTTTGGCAAACAAGTGTGGGCAGGCAAACAACATGCTCAACTACAGTTCAGGGCTGACCAAATGGCACAGGCATATATTGTAACATTGCAGTCAAACAGAATAACAGCAGATTAGTTCCTGACTACTTTCAATTTTGAGTAGGAAGAATAAAAGAACATTGCACCCATATACAATTTATTCTCGCAAACTGGGTAGGTAACTGGTCATCCTCCATATGCTATTGGGCTGCAGCTGGCATCATCCTTAACCACTGGCTATGAAGACTAAGGACTGATTGGAAAAGCAGTTCGAGAACTTGTGGAGTGCCTCACATTACCTACCTGTGCATTGGAATATTTGCAACAGTACAAGGGTGTTCCTGGTCAACTTATTCTAAACATCATTTCAGCATTTCAAAATGGTAAGAATCAAGAAGCAACCTGAATTGTATTTTATTGCTCAACTCTCTGGAACTAAAAGGTGGGAGCTAATATGAAAAGTTGAACAAAACAGTAGAGTTGTAGAACAATGAAGAAGGCTACTTTGCAAAATGTGCAACTCTCCTATGTTGAGAAGTTTTTAAAACAGAGCTTGGTTGACTATCAGGAACACTCTAGCTGTGCACTTCATTCACTACTCCGAAGTCTAGACTAGATGACTGTTCGGATCACTGCCAACTCTACAATTCTAAAATTCTAGGAACTTGCATTCCTGGTAAATGAAGCACTTTTGTCTGTATTTTGATTCAGCTACTAACAGCCTTAGCACAGGGCTCTGTGCAGAGGGACTAATCTGATACAGAATCTGAGCTGCAGACAAGCATGTGTGAACACACACTTCCAAGTGATCTTCCTTCCTTGCTGTGAGTGGAGAGACTCCTTGCTGTCCTACATTAGCATGCAAAGAGCAATATGTACCAG